ATATGGTAACCCAGTCCAGAGCAGGGATGATCAGCTTTCTGCTGTGGATAAGCGGTGGATCTCCTGAGTGTATGTGTGTTCAAAGCTAGGAAGGTTTTCTCACCCTTCTTCAACCCTCAGGTGTTGTGGAGTGATCAGAGCCAGCATTCAGATGAAGCTTTCTGGAAACTCTTGTGAGTCAACTGTGTGGAATGGCCCCGGATTGGTGAATTTGAAGACATCTCAATATCAAAACACAAATATATTAATATTTTATATATATATGTATATATATAATTGGAAGGAGCTCCCTTCTACACGGTGTAGTCAGAGTACTTGTTCAGAGAAGACACTGGATGATTATTGTGCACATTCATGGAAGCATTCGTTATGACAACCAAAATGTGAAAACAATTCACGTGTCTACCAACAGATGAATAGATAAATAAAATGTGACATAGCCCTAATATTATTATTTTGTTAGGTTTTCTGTTAGAGGCCATCAAGTCATTTTCAACCCCTAGTGAGCTGATGCATCATAGAATGAAACACTGGTGGCCCTTCACCATCCTCACAAGTGTTCCTATGTGGGATCTCAGTGTTGCAGCCATCTCCTTGTGTCAATCCGTCTCCTGAGGTCTTCTTGTTATTGGGAGGCACCATCAAGTCAGCTCTGACTCATAATGGCCCTCTGCACAACAGAATCAAACAGATGCTCAGGTCTTCCCAATCTCACAGTAGTGACGTTTGAGTCCATGGTTGTAAGCACTGTGTCAATCCGTCTCCTGAGGGTCTTTCCTTTAATCCTGACCTCACATTCTCCCATGTAACATCTTGGATGATTGGCTCAGCATAAAGATTGAATAAATACTGTGTAAAGATGTTGCTCTCTTGGTCTAGGTACAGGTTCTACATGAGCATGATTCATTTGCTAGTTGATTCACTGGTTTTTAGGGTGAATTCAATTGAATGTCTTTACAGAGTCAATAAAGCGCAAGTAAGCATCTCTCTGGTTTCAGCTCAGATCCATCTGGTGTCATTAATGATATCCTTAACTCTACAGCCCCTTCTGAATCTGACTGGAATCTCTGGCAGTTTCCGGTGAATGTGCTGTGGCAACTGTTTCTGCATTATCATCAGCAAAATTTTATTTGCCTGTGATGTTCATGAGAGTGCTAGACAATTTCTGCATTCCATTGAACCATTTTATATATTTTTGCAAGGGAGGGGCACAGATATTGTCTCTTCTAGTCAGTTGGCATATACAATGTAATATTATTCAAAAATAAAGGGAAATTAATTTCTAATACATGCAACCACATGGATGAACCTTGGGAAGATATTGCTGAGTCATATAAGTCAGACACCAAAAGGTAAATATAATACCTCTTTAAGTACTTACAGTAGGAAAATGTGTAGCATCAAAAGTTTGTCAGTGGCGTTCAGGTGCTATGGAGAGGAAGGAATGAGAAGTTATTTCTAATATGTACTAAATGTCTGTTTAGGGGATGAAAGCCATTTGGAAATGGATAGTGTAATGATGGCATAACATAGTGAAAGTTCTATCAATGAATTATAAAATAGTTAAAATGTTGAATCTTTTGTTACATGTTTTTGCTCTCTCTCATAGCACTCCACTTTTATGCTGGGTTTTAAAATTCATTTCAATGACTACACAGAGCTCACAGAAGATGCTCCGAACTATGGGCTTTATTAGGGAAGTCAATAGGTTACAATTCAGATGAGAAATACTTAGGTTATAATGATTCAGTCAGGACAGTTTCTTGTCTGCCATGCAGTCAGACCTCCCTTTGGACCTCAGCCATTTAGCCTCTGCTCTGCTCAGGCAAAGTTACAGAGTTAGTTTAGTGCTGCCAATAAATGCCCCAGAGGCATACCACTCTGCTGTAAGCCTCAAGCCATTCTAGTTCCATGGATCAGCAAATCTAGCTCTCCCAATTAGCTGCCCAGATACACCCCACTCTTCAAGTTTGCCTCCTGACCAAAAGCATTCAGCTTTATTTGCTCTGTGGGTTGGGAAGACCATTGCTCTTTCTCATGCTCTGGCTTCTGGTTCTGCTGCTGCTGCTGCTTCTCCTTGACCACTCCTCTGGTGTCATAGCTGTCTCTTAGATCAAGGTTGTTTAATGTACAAGGATCTCAGCATGCAAAGGACGCACTCCACTCCACTCCAGACTCTTCTCCTTCATTAGTAGTGAAATTCCTCACCCTCCTGCTTCTGAGAGAGCTCATTTGATGCCCAGCAGGCTGGCAATCACAATGAAGCCTGTTAACAAGCACGCACAATGGCATCCTATAGTATCTTCCCCCATGAATGCTGCTTGGTTGGAGTAACCAAAACTCATTATGGCTCGAAGAAGCATAGAACTCACCACGTGTTTGCTTTGGCAGCACATATACTAAAATTGGAATGATAGAGAGAAGATTAGCATGGCCCCTGTGCAAGGATGACATGCAAATTCGCAAAGCATTCCATATTAAAAAAAATTCACTGCACTGTAATGTTTTGTCATCATCATCATAATAATTAAATTTTCTATCACAATAATAATTAAAATTATAGTCAGAATGAAAAATGGAACAAAACAACTGGAAAGCAAAACGAAAACAAGCAATAACCTAGAACTCAATTTCCTAAAATAGGTTGAATTTACTTGACAATTAAACTCAAATTCTGCCAGCTGTAAGTGCAAAGAGGGCCTTTAGACACCCGTCTCTCCCTGGTTAGTTCCTACTAAGTCACAGTAGTACTAAAGCAGGGCTGTAGACACTAGCTGTACAAACAAACAGCAGACCCATTGCCGGAGAGTCCATTCGAACTTGTGGGCACTGTACGTGTTACAGAGTAGAACTGCTGTGTGAGTTCCATTGGCCATCATCTTTCTGGACCAGCTCTGGTGATAGATACAGTGGTGAAGATCCAGCTGCTAGTTGACAGGTCAGTGGTTCCCATGTTGTAGTTACTCTTTGGAAAAAAGATGTGGCAGTCTACTTCTGAAAAGACCTACAGCCTTGGAAACCCTGTGGGGCAGTTCTGTTCTGTACTATACAGTCACGATGAGTTTGAACTAATTCCATGGTAGCCAGTATAATCTTCATGGATGTAGAGCATCTGACTTTTCTTCTAGGGAACCATGGGTTGGGTTTGAACCATGAACGTTTAGGCCAGTAGACAAGCATAAAACCTGTCCATGTCCACTAGCCAGGGACCAAACGAGCTGTATCGTTCTTATCAAGGTGCAGAGACACATCCATGGAGCACGGTCTACACTTTTGTGCACTATTTTTTTTATTAATCATTTTATTAGGGGCTCATACAACTCATCACAATCCATACATGCTTCAATTGTGTAGAGTTGTGCACTATCTTATAAGTTGCACAAGTTTTAAAAAGTGAGTGGAAGTCTCTTTCCTTAGTCATAAAAATCAAAATCAAACCCATTCCTGCTGAGTCCAGAACTGCCTCAGAGCGTTTCCAAGGCTGCACTTTTTAAACAAGCAAACTGCCGCATCTTCCTCCTCAGGAGGGCCTGGTGGATTTAAAACACCTTTCTTTAGGCTCGTAGTTGAATACCCAGCCACGGATCCACCAGGCCTCCTTCGTTATAAAAAAGGGACTATACACTCCCATGCCAAATGATGGTTTCTTCGGAGTAGCATCAGCCAGGGTTGTGAGTTCCAAGTTTCTGTTGAAACCGTTCCTGGCTGATTACACAGAAATGGGGTTTATTGAAAGAATCGACAGGAATGGTGGAGAAGCAGGTGTAAAGGTTGGGCTAATGAATAACAGCCGAACTCAAGTCCAGGGCTGGCCTGGAAGGGACACCTCTCCCATCTCCACTGGACAATTCTCAGTGCACCCTGGGGTAGCATTGCTGCCTCTGCTATGGGCACTCAGCTCGGGAGTGGGCTCCCTGCTGCTCCTTGTACTTTCTTTCCTTGGCTGCTCGCTCCAACTCCACGGTCAGTGCCTCTCATCGCTGGAAATGGGAGCACATTCTTGGCTCTCGCAGTGAGGCAGGCCGGAAGAGCCCACTTCTGGACCTTCCAGCTTCCAAAGTATGATGCAGGCTAAGCCACATTAGAAGATGAATTCCGTAAACCCAAGGAGGGAGCGCTTTGTAAAATAGATCAACACCACCAAGAAGAAGGCCCTCACACAATGGAAGGACCCAGCGGTTCCAGCAAGGGTCTCACGCATGGGCATGGCTGTGAGGATGCAGGCCAGGCAGTTCTTCCTTCTGCTGCATGTAGCTGTCCATCACTACATGTCAGAACCTGTTCAGTGCACTTACCAACAACACGGAAAGGCCTCGGCTGATGGGAAGCCCAAACCGAATATAAATGTCCACGCTCTGCTTATATAGGGTTTTGTTCACAAACAGAGCTAGCACATAGGTGGCGATGAATAAATCTCAACTTCCCCCTTTCCTTCCTGTGAGTCAATACAGCCTGACCGTTGATGCTACTAATGATATTTGTAGCACTTTTCTACTTATCATTTCTTTGCTTTTTCTAATTGCTGGTTTAGGAGAACTGCGCCTGAGGCCTATACACCAGTGCAAATTTGAAAGACTGAAATAGTTGCATGCACACCGTGCAAAAACAAACCACTTTATTGCCTTTGCAAGTTTTCGAGCTCTTGTAATGGTGGTGGGAACTCTGCCCTCAGCCCTTTCCTGTTCATTATTTAAAACCTCAACTTATGCTTTCCGCATTGCAAATCTGACAGGACCTTCAGTTTGAGGCTGATGAGCCCTGATCAGTGGACAAGGAGTACTTTGGAAAGTGATTTGCGCCTCTGGTACTCTTCAGCTTGTTTTCCTCCTTCATGCCTAAGTCACTCCCTGAAAATGAATGGACCATTTACAGAGACAAATGCAGCCTTTCGGGCCTCTAGGGCATTGCTTTAGTGACTGGAGAGTAATAGACTAACTGTGCTGGAGTTGAGTGCAGCCCAATCCATCTACTCTGTGTATCCCTTTGGCGACTCAAGTTGCTAAGGAGGTCGGAGAAATTAATATTGTGAAAGCAGAACCGAGTTCGGATCTCTTCTTCATCGCTCAGGACCTGGGACACCTCAGGCTTATAGCTGACCCTCTCGGAGCCTCAGTGTTCTTATCAGAGGGTCAGTCTGTGAACATTGTGAGACCTTGTCCATCACATGAGTAGCAGATTGCCTCATTTGTAATTTATTCTTCATGCACAGAAGATACTCAGACTATTGAGGATGAATTACTTTCAGTTCAACTAAATTGATTACATAGACTTTTCTCTCTAGTAAAGATATGGGGTTACAACACAGTGATAAACCCTTTGAGGGATTAATGGATTTGCTCTGGAGTTCTCTGCACAGAGAATAGGATCTGGTTCCAATTTATGATCCATGCTAACAATTGGAGCATAAAAGGACCTTTTGATTGAAAAAATAAAGTGGAGTTTTAGATAACCATGCAATAAGCTTTGGGCCACTTCTACATCAGAAGGCACAGATTAAGGACAAGATTTGAGAAATTAACAAAACCAACATTAGAAAGAAAAGAAGGTGTACAATCTTGCGATTTCTCATGATCCTCGTGGAAAGGCGCACTGGAGCCAGGGTACTTGGCTGGACACACCATGGGGAGATGGATATTCCAGGGCAGGAAAGGCCTCTCTCATTTCCAGGCTTTCTTACTGGGCTAACACGGAACACTGACCTTGTCAAGTGGGCGTGGTGTGCAGCGAGAAGACAAGGATACAATTTAGGCTCCAGGGACTTTGGCCCTGGAGTGGTAATGCACAGAGGTGGTCTGGGGATGTAGCTATCCAGCACCCAGATACCTCGGGGTCTGTGGATCGTGGCACAAACTCCTGCAATGGGAAGACATCTCTAGACACAGAGGTAGCTGAGGGAGCAGTGGTGAGTTCCAGTTTCAGCCAGCTCATGGTTGAGACAATTCAGAGAGCACCTTTGAAGTAATTTTAAAAGTCAGTTGTATTGACACTTCATCCAGATGTCATGCAATTCAATAATTCAACCATACCAAGAACAGTTGTACAATAATCATCACAGTCAGCTGTACCACATTTTACTTCTTCCTTGTAGTCATTGTTATTCATGCAATTATTTTTCTTAATTGTGGCAAAAATATATACACAACAAAATGTTCCCCAATTAAATTTCTACATGTATAATTCAGTGCCACTGATTATACTCTTTTTGTTGTACAAACATTATTGATAGCTTTTTTCAAATTATTCCACCACCATTAACATACATCCAACCCTCCTAAGCAAGAGCCCTCCTCCTTCACCCAAGGTAAACGCGGGTCATTTGGTTTCCATTTTTCTATTTTCTTTTTAGTAGTTTTCTTGATATAATATTCACATGTCATACACTTCCATTAATTAAAAGTGTTGCACATACATCATGACAATCAGTTCTAATGTGCCCCTCCTGAATCCATTGTTTGCTCCCTAAATCATCCCCCTCCCCGTTCCTGATAAATCACTGTATCAGTTATTGTCTCTATGCATCTGCTCCTTCTCTGCTTCACAAATTGGGAAACCCAACAGAAACAATAGAAAGTAAAACCAACAGAAAACAGCAAGAATAAAAAAACAATAATAATAGTAAAAGGATAAAAATGAAAATAAAGAGTAAGAAAGAAAAGACCACCATCAATTTTTAAAAAGCCAGAGAAGAAATTTCTGTTATGGAACAAGTGAGAAACATTTGATCCTAGAGCAAATTCAAGTTGGGTCAAGAGGGAAGTCAAGTGACCAAATATCATATCATAGCACAGTTCCATCCTCTATAATCTAAAGTTCACAATAATCTTTGTCTGATAGTAAAGCTGTTCTTGTCCCTTGTCTGTGGCTATAGTGGATCTGCCAGAGGCTTAATCTAAAAGTCATTAAAAAATATTTTTCTTTATTACAGCTTGTGAAGCTATTTACAGTCATTGCATTTGAACTCTGTAGCTGTCATAGTTTAAGATGGCACAGTACATTATGCATTGGACTACTAATTGCAAGGTCAGCAGTTTGAAACCACCAACTACTCTGAGGTCTAAAGTTACAGTTTTCTACTCTTGAAAAGAATTACAGCCTGTGAAACCCATGGAGCTAGTTCTATGAAGTCCCTGGAGTCTGAATCGACCCAGGGGCAGTGAGTTTGGTTTGAGTTTTGATGTCATAGTTTAATAATAATGGTAGTATTATTGTTATTGTGGTGAGTTGAAAAGTGTCTCCCTCAGAATGTGACCTTATGTCGAATAGGAATTTGAGGTGATCCCTAAGTAAAAGGGCAGATTGCTTATAGAAAGAAAAGAGGACAAAGAGATATGCACCAAGATGTACAAAGTCTAGTGAACAAGGAGGCCTAGATTAGAATGAATGTCTCTACAAGCAATGGATATCAAAGATTGCCAACACTCTCCAGAAGCTGGGAGACAGACGTGAAACACAATCTCCCTTAGAGTCGTGGAAAAAACTAAT